CAGCAGGACAGCATGGTTTGACCTCTGTGGATTCCTATTTACAGTCCCTGGGTTTATCTTCTGAATCAAGCTTGCACACTCGCAGTGCTAATATTGTAGGGCACCGTGAAGAGCCCTTCAAAGTTTCTGAAGGCACCCGAGAGGGCCACAGCACCCTGGCTGAGAATTGTTGGCCTGTTTACTCTGGGCCTCTTGGCCCCACTCTATAGCATGGTCACTAGGGATAATTAAGAATTGTATATCAGTTCCAGTCATCTTTCCTGCCTTTGGAAAGATGTTGTGACCATGAAGCTTGTTCCTACCCCCAGGACACCACAGAAACTTGCAGCTGCTGAATATCTCTTACCAGATTTGCCCGTCACTTTGGGGTTTGCTCATTTATTACGGGTATGTTTCTAGGGTCTCTGTAATTCTATCAATGTGCTGCTTGTGTTACTTGTGTTTCTATACGGAGCTGTATCTCTCCCTTCTGGATGTCCTCATACCCCAGTGCAGCTATCTGGCAGGATTCGGTTTCACTTGGGCTCGGTTACTCAACCACCAAATCAGTCAAACGTGCACACACGCACACACACACACACACACACACACATTAACGTGACACACCTGACCTGGCCAGCGTGACAGGCTGACACCCTCATATGCCACAATTCAATTCATCAGGACAACAATAAACTGAAGGAACGCATCCTTGTTGGCAAAAGCATAGTGGTGGGAGAAGGCACCACCCTCCTTGGGCAGAACTAATTTAAGCCTGACTCAGGGCAAGGTCAGTAACCATGAGGCGTGAAACAGGGCAAGACATGCACAAGGGGCAAGGAATCATAGCAATCCATACCACAGACCTGTTTAACCGCCATGCCTGCAATGAAAGACCCTAAAAAGCAGTCAGGCACCAACATAAGCAGCCCTGTGAAGTGTGTGAATACCTGCACATGCTTTACAGAATAAGTCTAGAAATTGCAAATGGGAATCCGTTGTGTCAAACACCTTGTGCCCTGCTCTGGTTCTTTTGAGCTCTTTGCAGAAGAAGACATGCTCTGGTATTTTTCTATAAGCAAAAAACACATGAAAGCTGAGACCTGGCATTGCTCAATGGGGGAGGGGCCAGCTGGAGTCTAGCAATGTTGAAAACCTCTGCAAAAGTTAGATGATGATGTTTAAGGTTGCCAAGTCAGGTGCCTATAATGTCTGTCTGCACAGACCATGTTACTTATGACAGAATGACCCAGGGTCAGATCAGATTGCACCTTTCAAGCACTCAAGTGCAGCCCCATTCAGCTCCTATCACATCATTAACTGAACACTTGCTGGTGCCCCATTAATTCAAGACCTCTTTGATACAAAGACCCCATAAAGTACCTTCTAGTGCTACTTTCCTATGACTGTGTGTTGGACCAACACTTCGCTGGGCTAGTTTAATTGGGGACAATCCTGCCCGCAGCAGGGGGCTGGACTAGATGACCATGTGAAGTTCCTTCTAATCTTACACTCTTATGACTGAGCTCATAGAGGAACAAATGACAGCAGTAATGTGATAGCAGCCTGGTGGACATGCATATTGGGTGTAGAAGGGAGGAATGCACACATTTATCAGGGAAGTTCACTGATATTTGCTAACACAAAAGGCCTGGAGAGCCTCAGGGATCTCAGACTCCGTTCCAGCCTCCAGAAGAGAGTTGAAGACAGGGCTATTGTCCTGGCACAGAACAAGACTGTGGGCTCATAACCCAGAATGCACTGCTAGGAAGAGGGAAATGTGGGTTCAAAGGTTCTCTGACTACAGGGGTCCCAAATCACAGGTCCCCAGTAGTACAGGCAAGTGTCCAACCTATTAGGCTATTTGGCTGAAAAACGGATAGAAGCTTTCGCCCACTGATTGTAGAAGTCTGAGGCTCCCATAGAAAAACGTGTCACAGCCAATCGGCAAAGGAATTCCTTGTCCATCTTGGTACCCACCTGGCACACCTTTGACATTGAAGAAAACCAAAAGAGAAAATAAATATCAGGAGGTTAATCTGTTGGTTTTCATTGCAACACAGATAGCCAAGTGACCTTTTCACAGGACTGCTCAATCCCCCTACCCTGCCCTTACCACGCCAGCTGTTCTCAGGTGAAATTCTTTGGCTAGCAACTTTTTTAGTACACCACCACAACCTTATGAGTTCTTGCAGACTGTCTAGTACCTGCGGCACTGAATGTTGTCTTTAATTGGGCTGGCAACTTCATAAGCCCCAAATTTGATCCATGCTTAGTTCTATTCACCCTTTGTAATTTCAGAGTAAATTCCTTCTCTGGTCATGCTCGTTTATACCACACGGTCAGCATTGATTCAAACACCAGAGTCCGAGGGCTACTCCACATTAGCTAACATGGGAGTGACCATACACCATAGCCAATCTAACAGTCCCCTGGATCAGTCCTGGTATTTTCTCCCCACTGGAGAGCAAACCCCACCTTCCTGGGGCTAATCCCCTTAGTCAATTCCCTGCTTCTCCTTCCCCTTCTAGGTAGTGCTCATGAAAAACCGCAGTCCCAGAGCTGTGACACTCTTGTGCCAGATCTCAACTTGGGTAAGTCTCACCGCTTTCAGATCTCTTCTGCACAATCCTCTAATCCCCAACTGGGGTCAAGTCATCACTGCACCTCTGAGCAGCTGCACAAGCTCTTTCCAGTTTCCCATGTTGGGGAAAATAAACTCCTTTCATTCAGTTTGAGTGAAAAGCTGGGCCTTTTCCTTCTGGCTCAGCACACGAAGCCTATTAAGGCAGCTTCCAATTATCCTGGTCACTTGCTTCTGTATAGCATGGTCACTTGGGGTAATTAATAATTGTATACCAATTCAATTCATCATTCCTTCCTGCGCAGAGATGTTGTGACCATCAGGCTTGTTCCCACCCTGCACAGGCAGCAATAAAATGAAATGACACATCCTTGTTGGCAAAAGCATGGTGGTGTGAGAAGGCAACGACCTCCTTGGGCAGAACCACTTCAAGTCCTGGCTCAGGGCAAGGGAAGTAACTATGAGGTGTGAAAGAGGGAAAGGCATGCACAAGGGGCAGGGAATGGTGGTGACTGCCCAGACCTGTTTAACCCCCGCACCTGCAATGCAGAATCCTACCCGTAAGTAAGGCACCAACATTAGGAGCCCTGTGAAGTGTGTGAATACCTGCACATGCTTTACAGAATGACCTCGGAGCCCGCAAATAGCAATCCAGTGTGCCAAACACCTTGTGCCCTGCTCTGGTTCTTCTGAGCTCTTTGCAACAGAAGACATGCTCTGGTATTTTTCCATAAGCAAAAAATACATGAAAGCTGAGACCTGGCATTGCTCAATGGGGTTAGGGGGCAGCTAGAGTCTAACAAGGCTGAAACCCCCTGAAAAAGTTAAAAGATGATGATTATGGTTGCCAAATTAAGTGTCCAAGATTTCTATCTGCACAGACCACCTTACCTATGACAAAATGACCCAGGGCCAGATCAAATTCCACCTTTCAAGCATTTACATGCAGCTCTAATCAACTGCAATCGTACCATTACCGGTACACCTGCTGGTGCCCCGTTAGATCAAGATCTCTTCTATACAATGACCTCATGAAGTCCCTTCCAGCCCTACTTTCCTCTGATCCTGTGTTGGACGCCACTTGGCTGGGATGGCTTAATCACGGAGAATCCTGCCTGGTGCAGTGGACTGGACTCTATCACCATGTGAAGTCCATCCTAACCTTACAGTCTTATGACTGAACTCATAGAGTAAGAAATGACAGGAGTCATGTGACAGCAGCCGGTGGGCATGTGCATTGGGTGTAGTGGGGAGGAATGCACACACATATCAGGGGAGTTCACTGATATTTGTTGACACTAAAGGACTGGAGAGCCTCAGGGATCTCCAATTCCAGTCCGGCCTCCAGAAGGGAGTTGAAAATAGGGTAATTGTCCTGCACAGAACAAGGCTGTGAGCTCATATCCTAGGATGCACTGCTAGGAATGGGTAAATGTGGATTTAAAGGTTCTCTGACTACAGGGGACCCAAAATGCAGGTCCCCAGTAGTATGGGCTGGTGCCCCACCCATTACACTATTTGGCTAAAAAGTGGGTAGAAGCTTTCGCTCCATGCCATGTGACTTGTTACTCTTGTCCCCCAGCTAAGGGCTTGTGGACTTGATGGAATTTGGATTGAAATGGAGAGTAAGTCAATTTAGACCCCTCCATGCAGCGCTCGTGTCCCTAGTGTCCTACCTGTTCATGTACTGGCTGCATCAGGGATCTTTGTAAGTAAACGTTGAAAAGCTGCATGAATAGTAGTGGAGGCAGGAGCAATCCAATTCAATGCAACAAATGGTGGGAGGGATGTAACTTGGGGGTGGGGGGGTCCCAAACTTAGCAATGTGATTATAGAAGTCTGAGGCTCCCATAGAAAAATCTGTTGCAGTCAATCCTCCAAGGAATTGCTTCTCCTTCTTGGTACCCACCTGGCACACCTTTGACTTTGAAGAAAACCTAATGAGAAAATAAAGATCAGGAGGTTGATCTGTTGGTTTTCTTGCAACACAGATAGACACCTCACCTCTTCACAGGGCTATTCAATTCTTCTACCCTGCCCTTACCACACGAGCTGTTCTGGGGTAAAATTCTTTGGTGAGAGTCTTTCCTTAATACACCAACACAGTGTTATGAATTCTTGTAGACTGTCTTGTACCTGCGGCACCAAACGTTCTCTTTAATTGGACTGACAATCTCACAGACCCCAAATGTGATCCATCCTTAGTTCTATCCACCCTTTGTAATTTCAGAGTAAATTCCTTCTCTGGTTATGCTCGTGTATACCACACGGTCAGAATTAATTTAAACACCGGAGTCCCAGTGCTACTCCACATTAGCTAACATGAGAGCAACCATACACCATAGCCAATCTAACATAGCCGACTGCCTTGGTCCTGGTATTTTGAACCCGCTGGAGAGGAAACCCCACCTTCCTGGGGCAGATCTCCATAGCCAATTCTCTACTTCTCCTTCCCCTTTTAGGTAGTGCTCATGAAACTCTGCAGTCACCGAACTGTGACACACTTGTGCCAGACCTCACCTTGGTCTCATCATTTTCAGATCTCTTCTGCACAATCCTCTAACCCTCAACTGGGGTCAGGTCACCGCTGCACCTCCATGCAGCTGCACAAGCCCCTACCAGTTTCCCTCTGGGAAAGCAAACTCCTATTGTTGAGTTTGAGGGAAAAGGTGGGCCTTTTCCTTCTGGCTCAGCCACCAAAGTCCATCAAGGCAGGATCCCATCATCCTGCTCTTTTGTCAGAGTAGAGGTGGGAATCAAAAGTCCAGGTCCACAGCGGGTAAGACAGTGATTCACCTGCCTTCTCCAATTGTCGCCCTGTCCCAATTATCAAACTGCTAATGAAGGAGATTAATTTATGTCACTTGAATGGCTGGAGACCGCTGGTATGTAGGTTTTGGAGCATTCAGTTACACACGGGAGTCGCAATGCTAGTCCATTTTTACTTATATGGGAGCAACCAGACATCATAGCCAGTCTAACACAGCCCCTGGCTCAGGCCCGGTATTTTGTCCCTGCTGGAAAGAAAATCCCACCTTCCTGGGGGGGGGGGGGGGGGGGCGGTGACTTGACTATAGGGCGGGT